ACTATCATTCATGTCCTTAGGGATTGTTGGGCAGCCAATAGTATTTAGAGTAATTTTCTCCCTCCTAATAAATGGGTGCAATTTTTCAACCTAGGAATATCTAGTTGGCTGGATTTTAATTTCTCCAAACACAACTTTCCTTTGCATTCAAATTGGAGCATTATCTTTGGCTTTGTTGTATGAAATTTGTGGAAATCTAGAAATAATTTTATTTTTCAGAATAAGAGTCTTAATGACCATGACTTTTCAAGAAAAATTTATCTTGATGTTGATTATTTTCTTTCTTGTTGCAAGTCTGGGCAGAAGCAGATTGTTGATGCTCGAGGAACCAATTTCTTGGTGAAGTGGTTGCCCCCCATTTCTAGATTTTTTAAGCTTAATACAGAATGCTCCATGTCTCATTCTTTGGGTGCTAGCTGTGGGGGATTAATCCGTGACTCTGCTAGTGCATTTATTGTAGATTTTTTGCAAAAATCTTGCTCCCTGCCATCCTACTGTTGCAGAACTTTGGGGTATCTTTTGGGGCCTCCATTTGGTTCTTGAGAAAAACCTACAGACTATTTGGGTAGAATGTGATTCTAAAACTGTCATATCTTTGATTGTAAATGTTCAAAATAGTAATTATCCCTTTTATTTTGTTATTAGTAAAATAAGAGAGTTGATTAGAAGAATTAAGTTTATTAGGTTTAATCATGTGTTTAGGAAAGCTAACCAAAGTGTTAACTGGTTGGCTAAATTAGGTCATGATCTCAGAGTGTCTTGTTCTTGTTTTGATAAGGCTCCTCCGTCTCTTGAGCCTTTTTTGTGGATGGATTCTTTAGGGATCTTGAGGTCTAGGCAGGTTGCCTAGTTTTGTTTTGTTGGACTTCTGCCCGTTTATTAGCACACAAAAAAAATTGTTGAAAAAGAAAAATCAATTGTGGAGTCCTTGATTTCTTTTCTTTCTTGCCCCGCTAGCCAACAAAACATAGGGAAAATAATTCATATTTTTACCTTTTCCAAAATATCCAAAATATAAAAAGCATATAACATTATATTATATTAATTATACTCATTTTAAGGATAAAATTATTTGTTTAAGAATTTTTTTCGATTTTTAATTAAACAATTAAAATAAAAATATTGACTTCAATTTTTAAAGTACAGCTATAATAACTTATAAAATTTTAAAATTGAGTTTAAATAACTGGTAACATTAAAATTTTATTAAAAATAAAATTTTTTATTATATTAAAAATATTTTTATTTTAAAAAATAATTTGATTGAAAAAACTTATATATATATATATATATATATATATATATATATCTTATAAATATAATTTATAGCTCTCATAACTTTCTTTTAATTTATTTTAATAAAATTTGTATAGTTTATCAAAAGATTTATTTTAATAAGTTTTCTGATTAAGTTTATGGTATAAGTCATTATTTAAAAATAGATAAGGGCTTAATTAAGCAAAATATCTAAAGGCACTCAAAATTTTATTATTATTAATTATTTAAATTTAACTTTAAGGAAAAAAATTCTATCCAAATTTAGCCCTCTTGTTTTTCCTTTCCTAAACCAAAGAAATTATGAGGATCCTAGTCCTAACTCTGTATATTCTGAATTTTTTTTTTCTTATTTCTTAGAAAGGACGCCATTGATATATTGAGGAAATCATCAGAGTTAAAGACTCAACTAAGAGAATAATTAGCATACAAACCTAAATTATAAACAATTTTTTCCTAACTACAACTACTCAATCAAAATTTAAACGTCAAAAGATCTTCCTTAACAAGGAACGCTGACCACATAAGTTTTGGAATGGCCTGTGGACGAGGACAAAAATATTCTTAGTTACTACTACTGGTCAACAAATGTAAGCACTCCGGTTTAGTTTCAATTTTGGCTGCAAAAAGTAAGCAACAACCTTCATTAACTTCACGTGCACTCATATTTACATAATTAATGATTTGTTTAATACATGTTGAAAAGAAAATAAAAAATTAACAAGAAGAGAGAGAGGAGGAGATTATCTATGTGATTAATTTTTTTTATATTACTCAATAGAAAAGAAGGAGTGTTTGTCATATGTTAATATCATATCATAAAAAAAATACAAAAATTTAATTAATGAATTTACATAAATATTTGTCTTATAATAACTATTTTGTGTTTTTTCTTTCTTCCAAATATGATATTGTTTATGTTAATATTAAAAAGATTTATATTTTTATTCTATTATTTGATTTTATGACTATCATAAAAAAGGTTAAGATAGATGAAATATGTGTAAGATCTACAAAATGGTCTATAATGTTGTCCTTTTGCTCCGAAAATGCTAAACAAGGGAATGATGAATAAAATTGAGACTAAGGTTAAGTTTATATAACTCTTAATTTCTTCCTTTTAAATAATAAATTGAAATTAAAAAAGAGTTAGACACAATCCATGGACCTGTTACTTTTCTTTCCACTCTAAAAATACATGCCAAAGGAAGGTTATAAGGGTGACAAGTTGTAATTATGTCGAGATTCGATAGAAAACAACGGGTTATCGCTTTTTTTATTTTATCATATGATTATGTTAATCTTAACCTTAATTTGAAGATTAAATTTTAACATTTAAAAATAATAATTTTCATTAAAATATTTATTACGTTAGAAATATAATAAACATTTTTAATATATTATCATGATATTATTATTATTATTATTAGTTACTTAAATTCAGATTTAAATATTGAAGTTAGTATATTATTTATTATATTATAAAAAATAAGCATTACAAATATTTGGGCTACTCAAGTAATTAAATATAATTTATACTTAATTGGAGATAACTATTAGCTGTTTATTAATGAAAACATTCCCTACAAATGAATGTTTGAAAAAACGTTAAACTAACTCGAGTTGGCTTTTTTTAACATGGTGTAGTCAACATTTTTATTTATAAGAACTGAGTGATCAACCGTTTAATGCTTTTATAGTTTAAGTTTTATTCAAGCTTCACTGTTTAAGAAGTTTAGCATAGTGGTAATATGCTTTTTGACTTATATATTGTGTTGGTTTCACTGTGAATTAGACAAGGAATATGTTCAGAGTTTCCTGAACGAAGAAATACTTACTGGTGATAAAACACGATGCGAAGAGTTTTTCTTTTTCTTTAAAGAATGTTGTAATATACGTAGAAACAAACAAAGTAACACGTTTTAATTACTTAAAAAACTCGGGCATATTTTGAATAAACTATTTTAACAAGCATTAATAGAAAAAAGATAAAGAGAAAAATTAAATTTTTTATTTTTCATAAATTAAAAGCAATTCATATACGTTAACTTTTAAAGAAGTTGGATGAAAAGACTTCTAACATAGTTAATATAACATAAATATTTTTAACTTGTAAGAAAGCTTTAATCTATTTAATTTTTATAAGTATTTTTATCTAAACAAAATTAAAATAAATAAATTTTGATTAATAAATTTTATATAAATAATAGAGTATAGAATTACATGACATTTTAAAATTATGTATATTTCAATTATTTATATTAAATTTTGTGATTAATATTTACTTATCTTGCTTCTCCTAAGGAATAACAATTAAACTTAAATTCATTATGTACTCACAAAAATGATGTGTAACGAGGAAAATTTCAACCATCAAATAAACTTGGGAATGGAAATAAGTAATTATCTACAAATTTTGCAAGTAATTACTCATCTTATACTCGAAGTCTCAAACACACACATCTATGATTAGATATTTGTTTAATTTTATTAGAACTTTAAAATATTTTTTTAATTGAGTGAGACACTAAGCTTTTAATTAATTTTTCGTAATTATTGTAATATTAAATAATAATATTTTATTAATTTATAATAAAAATATATATAAGAATGTTTTGTTTAACTAAAGGTATAAATTTGAATATATATATATATATATATATACACACACACATTAAATGAGTACAAATACTAAAGTTGCATTTTTTGTTAGTATAAATCTGAGTATAGATTTTGTTATTGCTAATCCTCAATGAATTTTCCCTCTTATTGTATGTACTCAAATATTAGTCCTCGTCAGTGATGCATCGTCCTGTCATAATCTGCAATTTCGATTGAGAACATCAAGAAAAAATTTGTGTGTATCCCCAATGGCCATGTAAATGGCACACTTCTTCATTGATTGCGGAGATGCTTGTATTGATTGCGGAGTGAATAGATGTGATACCTTAATATGTTATTTTCTCCCTCTTGACTCAGACTTTGTACCTACAAAGAATGACTGAAAAGGAATATAAGAAATTTTTAGCTCGTTAATAATTTTCGTACTATTAGAAGCTGGGCCCAGATAATCTTATGTGTTTCGATTTGCTAAGACCATATGCTAAATGAATCTTATTGTTAGTTGAACACCTACATATAGAAAAGAGGAAAGATAAAACTAGAAAGAATAAACCAAATCATATGCATGAAAAAACATGATGGCGGGCAAATCATTGATAATGTTCCTCCAACTTAATTTCTAGATAAGTACTTCGTTCGATTTTCATTATGTTTTTCTGAAGAACAGATTTGCAACCTACTTACAAGATTGTTACTTTTTGACGCCGTGAAACTTCATTGTCTGTAGTGGGTTGTGACAACTGAATTCTATAAACTTGTTCTTATTTTCCATTCAATCACTTTTCGCAAGTTTCACGCCATTTAACTTGTTAATTCCTAGGCATGCACCTAAGATGAAATTCACTGTGTCAAACAATTTACGACCAAGTACCACAAGGTAGTTAAGCGGCAATCATTATGGTTTGAATTTTCCTTTCCTTTACCTAATGATTATTACAAATCTAACTTGTTTTTTATGCTTTTTTAGCTAGCTTAAACTTGCAAGTAATATAACCCGTGAAAACTTTGTCCTTAAGCAAATCATAAATTAATTAAAGATTTACTTTACTCTCTTCTATATATATGTATCACCTAGATATCATCAGTTAAAACCGGCACTGGGGAAGAAGAAAACAAGAAGCCAACTATGCTTTCTTCTACTCAATCCCTACTCATCACCATTTTCATAGCACTAACAATACATCTTCATCCATCAAATGCTCAATTGAGTTCAACCTTCTACTCCAGCACATGCCCCAACGTGTCTTCCATCGTGCGCAGTGTTGTTCAGCAAGCCCTGCAATCTGACCCTCGTATCGCCGCGAGCCTAACTCGTCTCCATTTTCATGATTGCTTTGTTAATGTAAAACCCATTTACACAATTTAAAGCTCCAAACAAATTTTCAAAAAGCTTGTGTATATACGAAGCTGATCTAGTTAAATTGTTTTTTATTGGGTCTCATGCACTGTCAGATAATATTAATTAAGCTTAGAATTTAGAAGACTAATATTAGTTATCTCGTGTTCTTAGGGTTGTGATGGATCCCTTTTGTTAGACCAAGGTGGCAACATAACACTGAGTGAGAAAAATGCAGCTCCCAACAATAATTCGGCTCGTGGCTTTAATGTAGTTGACAACATCAAGAGCTCTGTTGAAAATTCATGCCCTGGTGTTGTATCTTGTGCCGATATCCTTGCCCTTGCTGCTGAAGCTTCTGTGAATTTGGTAAATTGTTTGTTACTTTGACAATTCTCCTTATCCTCTCAATTTTGTTCTTGCTAACTAATATTTATATCCCATAAACGGATATGTAGTGGTATTTAATTTAGAGTGCATATATAATATAAGTTATTTAACTGCATATTATGATGATGATGTATATTTGTAGGGAGGAGGTCCTTCATGGAACGTACTACTTGGCAGAAGGGACGGTCTGATTGCAAATCAATCTGGTGCCAACACTTCCATTCCCACCCCATTTGAAAGCCTAGCCAATGTCACAGCCAAATTTGCTGCCGTTGGCCTAAACATATCTGATCTTGTTGCATTATCTGGTAATCATAATCACTCTTCTCGTCTAGCCGACAAATGTTAATAACACTTTTTTTTCACACTTTTTTTTAATCAGTCTATGTGATTATCTTCTTTTAAGGAGAATGTAAATTTTAATTCTTAAACAACTAATAATAATAGTAAGATTCTATTAAAAAATATTTATAACTCTTATAATTTTCATATAATGTATTTTTTAATAAAAAAAAATGATTACATTTGAATGCTTAACCTCATATCACTTTTTTTTAAAAGTTAAAATATGTCTTATAAATTGGTTAATATTTAAATATTATTCTATGTTGAAAGTGTGTTTGAAAGACATTTTTTTATCTTTCTTTGCGCACACATAAACTTCATCAGAAATCTTTGTAAATATTTACTTTTTAAATAATGTTAACCGCTGCTTTAAAGACATTAATTAAGAAATCAAAAATAAAATATTTTATTAAAGACATATAAACACTTACTTTCATATTTTTTTAATACGTTCTAACATAATTTCAAAATAAAAATTTAATTATTTACTAATTCATTGATCAACAGCAACACAAATACCATAATTTTTTGAACAACTACTTTGCTCTTATACTTCGTTTACTGAGTGCCTTACATTTGCCAATAGAAAAAGCTTGATTTAATTATATAATTACTATGATGGTTATTAACTAGTGCTTGACTCAAAAGGTGCACATACATTTGGTCGTGCACAGTGTAGATTTTTCAACCAGAGGCTGTTCAACTTCAGCGGCACGGGTAGCCCTGACCCTACGCTCAACACAACCTATTTGGCTACTCTTCAGCAAAGTTGTCCACAAAATGGGAGCGGGACCACTCTGAACAACCTTGACCCTTCATCCCCAGATACCTTTGATAACAACTATTTCAAAAATCTCCTTAACAATCAGGGTCTTCTTCAAACAGACCAAGAGCTATTTTCCACTAATGGGTCTGCTACAATCTCCATTGTTAACAACTTTGCAAGCAACCAAACTGCATTCTTTCTAGCCTTTGCTCAGTCCATGATTAACATGGGTAATATTGCCCCATTAACCGGAAGCCAGGGTGAAATCAGATCCGATTGTAAGAAAGTAAATGGAAGTTGAGAGAGAAAGGATCTACCTGAAGTACAAACTGTTCTTGGTGTTGTATACGTTACCATCAATATGTACTCAAACTATAGGTTTGCATTATTTGAGTGATCAGCATTTAATAGGATACTAAAATGGTTAATCAATATGCTTCTTGTATCTTGGACTATTGGTTTGATTCCTTAATTACATAAAGTGATCTTACAAGTATCCTAATAAAAAGTTTAACATATAATTATGTATTATTTTGCTATGAGATGTAAGACTCTAGTTGATTCAGCAGGTACTTTATTTCTTAATTTCTTTTCCATGCAGAGTATTACAAGTCAATTTTACAAATTAATTAGCTGTTACCTATTTCGAAATTACAATTAGTACTCTTTGCTATGTCGTTGTAACTAGGGAAACGCGGAATAGCCCGAATGTTTCAATTGATATTGTGAGGTAAGAATTAAGATAAAATGACATTAGCTCATAATCATTATCAGAAAAACAAAGGTTAAAGAAGATACAAGTGTGCTAGAAATGTTACGTTCCTTATCTATGCAATTTTAAATCAACTAGAAGTTAACTGAAAGGTTGGCGCACGGGTATAAGACCATCTTGCATTGATATAAAATACTATTTTATTTTTTTTATAGGGAAAACAAATCTTATTAAAAAGAGTTTAAGGGGAACTCAAAACCCATATACACAAAAAATTACTTACTCAGAGAAATAAAAAGTAAAAATATAATTATGCAAAATTAAGACAGATGCAATTTCGTGGGTTCAAATACTAATCAGCTAACATAATAGCTTCTCCCTTACTAACAAGGAGCGAAATTAGTCTTTAGCACTTTAATCTCTAACAAAGGAGGAAAAAAACTAGAAATTAATAATCACTTCTCATCATCCCGTGTAATTTGTGGGTGGTATCAATTAATCAAGGAATAAAAATAAAATTGAGTACTGACATATGCTTTTTTAATTTTATTTAAATTTTTATTTAGCCTATAATATATTTTACATACATGAGATAAATTTATTTAAAATAGGTATAATTAATATGGATGATAATTTTTTTGCTTTAAATACTGCTTATGCTAAAATAATTTTGTACCCATTAATCCAAGTGTTTAATTTTTTCTAAATATTATTCTAAAACTTTATAAAAAATTATTAAAAATAAATTTAATGTTTAAAAATCAAAATGTACAATATTTCTATTTATGATTAAAATTATTTCAAAAATAATATTAAAGAATTTAAAATTAATAATACAAATTAACAGGACTTTTATGACCAAAAGCAAAAGTGATTTACTTTATTACAAGCATTGTACCTCAGTCACAGGAAATCCATTAATAATTTAGGAAGGAGAAAAGTTTGTCTAAAAGACATGATCATATTTCTTTGACTTTCTATGATTCTCATAATTTCATACAAAATTTAGTGTAATTTGTGTAAAAAAAAAAAATGGTACGCCACGGTTATTTTAACTTAACTAATAATTTTGAATTCAAAATTTTAAGAACACAATTATGTTAAATATTTAAAAGAGAAAACTTTGTTATCTATAAATAAATATCAAGATTTATAAAAATTTTATTGAATAATAAAAAAATTAAATCTATTAATATTAAGTGTCAAATTTAAAGACTTACACATTTAATAATTTTTTATATAATATCATGTTAACAAATTCAACCATTCAATTATTTTATATAATTTTTATAATCATGTATATTAAATTTTATATTACTTAAATATGTATAAGCATATTATTTAAATTTTAATATTTATTTGAATTTTTAAAAAATATTATTTAATGAAACAAAGTAATGAGACGAAGTATATATTAATATAGTTTTTATATAAATTAAAAAATAACCTATTTAATAAAAACTATCAATTAATGATTGAATTAATTTTTTTAATTATATAAAAATTTATTAAATAATATAAATGTTTAAGTTTACTAAACTATTTCTATTAAAATATTTTTATTTAAAAATATCCTTAATATAAGCATAGTAAATATTTTTAGTATCTTTTAAAGGACAATAAATTTGCTATAATATAAGAAATTCTTAGAATTCATTGCATTTCGAGACTGAGATGGTCCCATGGTAGGGGGTGAGTCTTTTCCCTCTTGACTAAGGTCGCAAGCAGGGGAACATTATGTTACGTGGGGGATTGACATATACACACATTAGATAAAGAATTTCATTAAAAAATTATATATATATATATATATATAGAGAGAGAGAGAGAGAGAGAGGGGGTTTGTCTTAGTATTAATATAAAAAATTATAACTAACAATATAATATATCATATAAAAAAATATAATGCATTGATATACATTATATATTAATGTATTATACTATGTTAACATATATTTAAAATTTACAGTTTTTTTTGTTTAATCATAAATATTTTCATTAGAAATAATCATGCATGTTTGAGTTGAATATGATTATTATAAATGTGTATATTAATGGTTTATTTTTATTAAAAAAAAATTTACTAATAAACAAAGTCTTAAGACAATTTTTTATAGTAGTTTTTGGAAATATTTAACAGTTGAAAATATTCTCACAAAAAAGGAAGTGAAACTCGATTTCGATATTTTTGTATATAATCTTTTAATAAAAGATTACTAACATAGATTTTATTAAAAAATTTGTAGTTTATTAATTTTTTAATAATAAAAGTAAAAAAAATAAAAGAATTAGAGCATGTTTTTTAAAAAAATATAATATAATATTTTATTTTTAAAAATGAAAAACTATTTTTATATTGTAATTTACTTTTAATAATAAAAAATTAATTTAAAAAAAATAAGCATACTCTTGATCCCATCTTTTATAAAAAGATTCGATCTGATTATAAAAACTATCATAATCATAATAACTCATTAAAACTTAAACTTAAAATCACATTTTAAATTGTAATAGATGCTTGAAACAACATAAAATATTTATTAGTAGATAAAAAATTATAATTACACCAATTTAAAAATTGTTGACATTAATTTTTATAAGTAAATTTTAGCATTAATAATAAAATTTACTTTTTATTATATTTTATATTTTCAATATAATATATTCATATAAACTGCAAGAAGATATGTATGAGTAAAATATTTGGATGTCCAACTTGAAAGATATAATGGGCACATGTAACTTAGTTAAATTAAAACGAATAAAAATTTACTTGTGAGAAATATTTTTGGAAAATTAATTTTTTTAATTTTAATTTCTAAATTTAAATGTTTAAAAATATTTTTTTATTAAAAATATATTTATTATATTAAAATTATAAGAATGTAATAAATAATTTTAAAATAAAATATCATTTTATGGTTAAACTCAAATTTAAAAATAAAAATTAATGTTTTTTAAAAAGTAAATAGGCTAAACCTGTTGATAATAAACACATTGCCACGTTAGAATTATATACGTACCAAAAAGGAAAAAAAAAATTACTTGATGAAATCAAACCTACCTATTTTTTTCTTCTCAACGATCAAATGAAAAATAATAATCTCAAATTTTAATATTGAGTTGAAGTAATTCATAATCATAAAATTTTATTAAAAGTAATATAATTTTTTATTCTTAATAAGATATTTTTTTTTTAAGTCACGTGTATCTTTTATTATAAACAATTCACTAAAATAAATATTAATTAATCTACTTGTTCTTTTTAAATATTTAAATTAATTTTTTAATATTAAATTTATAAAATTTATAATAAAATAATTTTAAAATTCTAAAAACATATTTCTTTCAATCTATTTTTTTATAATTTAGTTACTATTAAATATTAAATTTTGAAATTTATACTATTAAATAACTTTCATAAAATATGAGACTAAACTTTTATATTTATACTATTGAAAAAATTTAATAAAATATGAGATTAATTAATTGTTTTTAAAGTTTTTGTCAAATAAATTCATTTTACAGAATTTTATAAAAAAATTATAATTCATTGTATTACTTTATTTTAACGGATAATATATTTTTAAAATATAAGTAATTAATAATTTTTGGATAATATATTTATAAATATTTAAATTATATGAAATTTAATATTCATAATCACAAATACCATATAAAATCATTCTGATAGATTAATTTTACATTTATTAAAATTTTATTAAATAATATAAGTATTTAAATTTAACAGCATCAAAGGATCATGACTCATTTTTTATTATTAAATAATTTTTTTATAAATCTTTCTAAATATCCAATATTATCTAAGTCTCATTTAAATAAAATTTTAAATAAAAAATAAAAATAGATTTTATAGGGAGTTAATATTTAGAATTTAAAATTTTAAAAATAAAAATTAGATTTTATAGGATTTAAAATTTTAAAATTCTATAAGAGGTTATGATTTAAAAATATGTAGCTATTTTTAGTTGTCAGATTAGATTAGTAGAGGAAAAATTGATAAAAAAAAATGATTAATTTTTAGAAGAATGAATTAGTGATAAGTTGGAGTCTTTTATTTTTTAAAATAAAATGAAATTTAGAGTTTCAAAAAGTAGTTGTAGATGAGAAATTTAGATCTTAAAAAATGAGAATATATTTTTTAAAGCATGAAAAAGAGAGAGAGAGAGAATTGGGAGATAAAAAAGAGGAGAAAGAGAAAACTCAAGAGATAAAGGAAGTAAGATTACCAAAAATAACCAAAACTCTAAGAATACTTGAAAAGAAAAAAAAAAAAAAAAGGAAGAGTTTTGAGAGTATAAAAAAATTATAAGAAAACTCACTAAACTTTAAGTACATATTATCAAAGAACACCAAAGAGAAGGCAATACGATTCAAAAATTGAAATAGCCAACAAAAAGTAAAGAAAAAAAAAATAAAAGGAAGAAAGGTTAAAGAGTAAATTAAAAATCTAAACAAAAATACATTAAGTAATTATTTTTTTTTAATTTTTTTACACTCTTTATCATGTTATTGATCTCTCATTTCATTGCGTCATTATTACTTATTTTACACTCTCAATTGTTTTTATTTCTGTTTCTAAGATTAATAATAAACTTTAACCAATAAACATATTAAATAAGATTTTTTTTTATCTCCATGTACTCTTTATTATATTATTAATCTCATTTTGTTACATTGATATTATTTTATTCATACTCTCAATAGTTTTGATTCATTTTTCTAATTCAATAATAAACCTCAAAATACTAATTTTTCCAAACTCTAAAATATCTTTTTTTACAAACCTAAAAATTCCAACATTTTCTAACCTTAAAAATTCATTCTTTTCTCAAACCGTAGAAGAACCTAATTCAATAAAAAAATTTCCTTTTATTCAAATCCTAAAAGTTTTAACATTTTTTAACCCTAAAAATTCATTATTTTATTTCAAACCTAAAAAAATCTAATTCAATAAAAATCTACTATTTTTGAAATCCTACTTAAATCCTAATTTTTTCTAATTCAAAAAAATTTATTCTTTTTTTTAAACCCTAAAAATTTCAATTCAATAAAAATCTTTCTTTTTTTTTCAAATCTTAAATGTCTTTTTGTAAACCTAAAAATTTTTCATTTTCCTTGCAAACCTAAAAAATATAATTTTCTTTTTAACCCTAAAAGTCTTTTTGCAAATTTAAAAATCTTTCAATTATTTTTGTAAAACCTAAAAAATCAACCTAATTAATGCAAATCCTAAAAATCTTTTCTTTTTACAAAAAAATATATGATCCTTTTGTCTATTCAAAAAATATACATTTTTTCTATTTTATTTTAAAAAATAAAAGAATTTTGATTACACGCAATGTTAATAAAATAATAGATCTACTTTTAATGTTGTTTGAATCATAAAAGTTTATTGAATTGTCATGTATTAACTTGAATCTTGTGCAATAATGAATTTATTTATAAAATAAGAAAAATTTAATATTTTTAAAATAATTTTGAATCTACACAATAATTAAATAATATTAATAAAGTAGTAAATTTAGCTGTAAATTTACTTTTAATGTCATTTATATTGTAGAAATTTATTAAATTATTGAGTGTTAACTTGAATCTTGTGCAGAGTGAGTTTATTTCAAAATTAAAAAACAATTTTAAGAAAATAAATTTTTGAAACTTATCTAAACCTAATTTTTGAAACTTCTTTTTTTTAGATCTTAAAACTTTAAAAGATAATTTTTTTTTATATACTCTCTCCATCTAATTTCAATTTAAACACACTAAGATTAATTTCAAGTACTTATTCTTTCTAAAAAAAAAAAAATTGTTGCATTTTCTTAGTTTCATTAGGAAAAATAGATAAGTTTTTTCTAAAATATACTTATTTTATCTGAAAACACAAAATAATAATAATATTTTTATAAATAATTTATTATTTTAATTTAAATTATAATTTTCTCTAAAATTATGTTTTTTTATTTTAAAAATATAAAAATTAATTTTTTTTGTAAATTATAAAAATTAGAAATAAAATAAAAAAATAGTCACAAATTCAAAAATAGCAAAGAAATAGAAATTATTTTTTTAGAATGAAATAAATAATTTAAAATTTTGTACAATTAATTAAAACATAACTGTTTTATTTAATAGACATAAAAAAATGTTAATACATTTTTTATGTGTAAACGATCAAATTTAAATATTATTTCAAAGATTTTTTTAATGTTTTTTTAATAAATTTTTGTGAACTCTCTTTTTTATGTATTTTTTTTTCTATGATTATCGTCTGATATAACTCTTGGTTATAACAATCTTTATATTTATTTATATGCAACAAAATTTGTTGTTCAAACATTTAACCTAATTATATATTTAAAAAATTAAATTTAAAATTATTAATTACTATAAAATATTCATATACGCTAACCAACGAATTAATTTTAATATTAAAAGTTATTAGCATTATTCTATTATAATTCTCTAAATTTTTAAAAAATGTTAGTGTTTTACCTTTTAATGATATTTTATTTTTTTATAAAAAATTTAACCTTACTAAAAATTATCATTTATCTTTTTTTGTTCTATAAATTTTTGACAAAAACACTATATTTAAAAAAAAAAAATTATTTGTCTTCTTAATATTTCTTTACTTACTCTTTATCCATAACTATCTTTTCTCTTACGAATTTTAATAAAAATGTAATTGTATTTCAATAAGTTTTCTATTAATCTTAGAGTTACAGGGAGAAAACTTCAATTACCACCTTAAAATTGTTGGCATTGTTTCGTTGATTTTCTACTGTGAATTTTTTTTTTGTTTGCTACATTTTACTGTGAATTTTAAAAAAAAAAATTGTAGATAAAAAAAAGTCATATGTGATACTTTTGTTAGAATTAAAAAAGTTGAAAAATAATTTTAACATAGTTAATATTTTATAATTAAATTATTTGAAATAATTTTAAAAATTAAGTTAAAATAAAATAAATTTCAAAATTAAAGGATAGATCTACTCATTTAACCTATTAAAAATCACATATTTAGATAAACCTTACATAAATTTTATTAAAAATTAAAAAATAAAAAATATATAAATAATGTGTTAAAAAATTGCTAGATGATACCAAACACATCAAAATTAAGTTGGTTTTGGTATATAACAGGCTATAGATATAATCATATTGACAAAAAAAAAATCATAGATATTATACAATTTAATTTAAACACGCAATTATCTGCCATTTTAAGAGGTAATAATAAATCATAATTATCCGAGCAGAGGGAGAGAGAGTGTGTACCTTGACAAGAACGGCCCAGATGGTGCAGCGAGCGGTGTTGGAATTTGGAATAGAAGCCACTCATACCTGACACCTCATCACAGCCGTCCATCTTCATCAGAGCAACCAAAGCAGAAAGAAGAACCTTAGCAATTAGCAGGTTCCTCTCTTCCCTTTTCCTTCTTCACCACTTCCCATTTTCTGTTTCTCTCTCACCAGATCGAACCGAACCGCACCGCATCGCACCGCACCCACCACAACGCCATGCTCTAACCCTAAGCTAAGCGCCTCTTCCTTCTTTCCCCCTCTTCTATTTTTCACCATTACAGAAAGGTAAAAAAATATTCGTTTTTTCGCAATCGCCAAACCCTTGTTGGCGACGCTTCAACGTGCCCTCCCTTCCCTTTCCTTTTCTCGCGAATCCCTTCAATTCTAGCTGAATTCGACTAATTCTCCACGGCTTTTCCTCATAATTGCGGTCAACCCCGCGTATTGGATCTGGGCTCGTTCTTGGTAACGATGAAGTTAGGGTTTTTCCCCTAATTTGGGGATTTTCGATTCTGATTGCTCAATTTCGTCAGCAAACCCCCTCGACACTGGGTTTCTTTGATTTGTAATAAAGCTTTGTTCTTGCGTGAAAAAATTGTAACTTTCTTGTTTTTCCCTTCCCTGAACAAGATTTGTTTGAAATTTGTAATAAAGGAAGCTTTTTTCTAGTTTGGTGATTGAAGCTGTGATGGAGGAAGAGGGCTCAGATGCAATGAACCTTGATTTGAATCTGGGTCCAGGCCCAGAGCTACCAAGCGGGTCCATTAGCAATGAAGCTATGAACTTGGACGATTGGATAGGTGAGAGAATCAGTGAAGCTGTGAGGCTTAGGGCGAGACAAAGGTGGCGATGGCGGCATCTCCCTATACCTCATCCTGAAGTTCATGTTCACATTCCACCTGAAGCCACACGGCATTTGCATATCCCACCAGAAGCACACAACATTTCCATGGAATTGAACCAGTTTTTGGTCAATTCAGGTAATGGAAGTGCCTTGCAGGCCGGAGAAGGCAGCGTGGCCGCAGAGGAGAGGATGGAGGAGGCGCCAAAAGCGTGTGAGAACATCAATGGTGTTGCGGAGGATGAGGCATCACAGAAGAAGGATGATGTGGAAAAGGGTAGTGGCAATGATGGGGACTTTTTTGATTGTAATATCTGTTTGGACCTGGCTATGGACCCTGTTGTGACGTGTTGTGGTCATTTGTTTTGTTGGCCGTGTTTGTATCGATGGCTGCATCTGCATTCGGATGCTAAGGAATGTCCTGTTTGCAAGGGGGAGGTGACTCTCAAGAGTGTTACCCCAATCTATGGCCGTGCAAACAATGCCCGTGGTCCTGATGATGATTCTGCTCTTAAAATCCCTCCTAGGCCGCAAGCACGGCGGGTTGAGAGCCTTAGACAAACCATTCAAAGAAATGCATTTGTTGCACTCCCTGTGGAAGAGATGATTCGGCGCCTTGGAAGCAGAATTGATCTTACTCGCGATTTAGTTCAGCCTCACGAGCCAGACACTGCTCGGGAGACAGCAGATAGAACTACCACTTTCCTAAGTAGGTTCTTGACAACTCGAGGTTTGAGGAGAGAGCAGAATGTTGGGGCACCCCCTGATGATGTTGTGGGTATGACACAGAACAATGTTAGTACTTCTGAGGCTGGGACTGGGGATAACCGCAGGGTGCAATCCCCTTTGCTTAGAAGAACACAATCACACAGAGCAACACTTTCTACTCTTTCATCGGCATTGACTTCTGCTGAAAGATTAGTTGAGGCATACTTCCGTAGCAATCCATTAGGTAGAAACCAAGAACAACCTCCTCCTCCTCCTACAGTGGATGACAGAGATTCCTTTTCAAGCATTGGTGCTGTCATAAATTCAGAGAGTCAAGTTGACACTGCTGTAGAAATTGATTCCATGGTATCCTTGTCAACTTCCTCCTCTAGAAGGAGAAATGATGCTTCAAGAGTGTCTGATGTGGATAGTGGAGATTCCCGTGCTCCAAGGCGCAGACGACTGAACTGATAAGAAGTCTTCTAGATGATCAAGTTATTACTATTCTATCATGTAACACATATGATAATAATTTTCCAACACCTGTGTAAGTTCTTCTTGCTTTTGTACTATCTTATATTTATGAAGTAGTTACCTTTTACAAGTTTTGGTAGATTTAAGATGATTTCAGAGTACTGTTATTTGCATTATAAGAATTTCCATCGAGTATTGAGCCATTTAATGTCTTGTCATCCGGAAACTAAATTTTGCTATAGAATAACTATTAACCAAGCTACTTTAGTATTTAAGGCGTATTTGAAATAATTTATATAGAGCATGTTTGTGCTCATGAAAGTAGCTTTTGATCTTCTTACATATCTTTTTAACTTATTTCAATAAGCAGTGAAGCTTACCAATATAAACTCCCTAACTTATTTTAGTAAACTTGTGATATAAGCTCTGACCTTCATTACTCACAATGGAGGGAGCTTCTGTTTTGCTTTTACTGTACTTGAGTGCTAAGATTTGGATAATCAAAGCCTTTATACCTGCAATGGTGGGTAATTCTGTTTCTTTGTATTGTACTTGAGCGCTCATAAAATCCTTCTATAATTCTTTTTACTATATTATCATTCAAGCATGATGATATGACAATAACATCATGACATTATCTTTACTGGTACTGTTTTAACAGGACTGATATATATAATACCTTACTATCTTTTGCTTCAGTCACAAAATTCCTGCGTTGGAGAAAATGGATATAATGCTTACATTTATACCACAATACCAAGTGACTGTCTAGTTCTTACATTGTTTCTTTTGGCTGATCCCATCTTGCATTCTGACTGGTATTAAGAATTTACCTAGTCTCTCACTCGCTCCATCTATTTATGATGAATAGAACCATCTAGGAATACTCATCTTCTCTGCGGCACTACAAAACTTTTGGATGCTCACATTGAAAAATTTTCAATTTGTTTAGTTTGAGGGAACTTTTTTTTTTTTTTTTTCCTTTTTTTACTATTAGTTACAAAAATTTCACATTGTTTTTACTTTGTTTTCAGTTTTGAACAATTTGTACAAGTAGTAATGAAAACTAACTATTCTTTTCACTATTTTTTTTATACAAATCTCTAAAAGAAGAATTTAATTATTAGTAAAAATGTTTTCTTAAATTAAACTGACTCATAATTTGCTTTAGTTTTCAAAGTGACCTACACATCGTCGATGTGTAATTCTGAGGTTGAAATAATGCATCTCTGCTTGTACTGGATGTTAGTAAAGTTGTTTTAGTTTATTTTAATTTATGCATATTCACTTGTTGTGATGATCTTATACAGACCTATTTCGTGGGGCATGGCCAACGGCAATTCGGGCTTGTATTTCTTGTCAATAATGCAGGTTCTGCTTCAGCAGAGTTGTTGTAGACAATGAATTGTAAATATAGTGACAATTATAGATATATGGTAGGCTAGTAGCTAGTCTTTGTTTAGTGTTGTGGATTCCCATACCATATTTTGCTAAAGCATCTTCATGCTGCACGAATCTTAGTTCGCCCACATGGTTTCATGTTAGGTCGTGGAAGTCAATGGTAGATGTTTTGTACTCATGTGATGGATCCGCTGTAGCGGTTGTGTTGTTGTGTTAACGAGGTTGGAGTATTCGGGTCAATTCAAAGTTTATTTTGATGGATTTGGGTCTTAATTTTAAACTTCAAGTTTTGAAAATGAGTTTGTACTATTTTAGCTCAGTGTAATAACTCATGTTCTTTAAAATTTATCTTTTTTATGATCATGTATTTAGAATAAAAGTTATTGATTTAACACAACATTTTGCATAATGTGATATTTTGTTTATATTGATATTTGTTTTAATACGTATATATTATAAAAGATATTAGATTTTGTTTTATACTTGAATTTTATGATTTAGTAATGAAATAATATTGAAATTTATAAATTGGGTTGATCATGTCGTGCTCTATACATCATAGTTTATCATCCGGTTAGTTTTTTCTTTTTTTGGGGTCAAATATTTTTAATGTCTTGTGAATACGAGCACTCTTTCTTTGAGGGCTGGGTATTCCGTTTTATCTATTAAGCTTTAATAAATATCTTTTCCCACTATAAATATATGGAACAATGAAAAATAAGTGCTTACGAGACTGGATGTGTTTAAAATTCAATTAAAGCTCGTATGGTTCAGTTATTCTATCTCCTTGAGTAAGATAAGAGATGATACTCGCTGATTAGTCGGGCCAAGGTACAATTCAAATAGTCAAGAGCCTAATCAGCAAGCTTTCTAGTCACTATATGATCTGGAATATTAGCCTTTCTGATTTATTTTATTTAGTTTTTAGTGTTAATTGAGTAAACGAAATTTGAAAGGCTGATTTTGACTGGAACTATGCTTTAAGGTAGCTATCGTTTTTGTACCCCTTTTAGGCTTTTATACTCTTTTGTTATATTTCTCACCACATTACACATGCTGTCGAAAAAAATGGAGGTACATGGAAGATACTTCCAGAAGGCAATGAAAATGAGATATAGTTTTCTAAGACCAATTTCAAAGGATTGTTGTTTCCTGATGCTTAACTTTGAGAATGTGTTTACCAAAAACAAAAACTTTGAGAATGTGTATCATTCGCTTTGTGGAAATTAAGTTCCAAAATTAACTTCAAAGTTCAAATGCATTTCAAAAACAAGTTTTCAGAAAGCAATGAACATTATTACGGACTACAACTCCAGAAATTTGTTTCTGGATGACATTAGTTTTTTCTGTTGTGTTCTATTTTAGCCTGCTTTTGGTTCTCTTTTTTATTTTTTGGGTTTCTTTGCTATCCTTGGTTGAGAACCGATCCAAGGTGAAGCTACTCCAGCCAACGACAGGATGTGAGTACAGATATTTGCATAATCTTATAAAAATAGCAGGATGTGTGCTTGCAAATAGCTTCTTGGAGATAGCAATGGTTCCTGAGAGAACATCTTTTTTCTCTTCTTTGTGTGAAATGGAAATGGGAACGAGTCATGGAATATCATTTTTTTTTATCATAAAGGGTATGTAGAAATAAAATTTTATAAAAAAATTAATGGTGTAAAAAGGAAAAATATGAGTGCAAAAGGTAATCCCCTTGCATGGAAGTCATTTCTTTATATTCCTTTTAATTGTTCTTTTGTCTTTGTAGAATTTGTGAAAAATCAAGGAGAGCCAATGAATGTGTTAGAAGAAAATGGTTGATAACAAGCTAATAATAAATCATAGTGTAATGGAAATGATTGATCAATTGACTACTAGACTAGATACATGCTATCGAGTGTTAATAAGTCTTTATGGTATTACAATAGACTGGTTAGTAAAACCAAATCAGGCCCATTTTCCATGCAGCTCAACAAGTCAGGTCATTAAAAGGGAGTGCAATCTCGAAACAGAGACTTTATTAAGGCTATGTTTGGACTTTGAATTGGTAGAAGGTGATGAAATTGGAAAGGGTTTTCACTCCAGCATTTGTATTTTATGTTTTACAACTTACAACAAATAAACGGCATAGCTTTGTTTATCGCACCAATTGAAATCAGGGTGCCAATGTATTTTGTCTCAGGTCTGTTTGGACAGGATCCCTTGTTTGGTATGAAATATTACGGAAGTTTTCACTTGAGTGTTTTTTCATTTATCTTGAACTGTTTATCATTTTAGAATATTAAAAAAATATTTATTATTATTTTTAATAATACCCTTATTTATTAAGGATAATTTTTGTCAACTAATAACTAAAATAACTTTATGATTAGTTATCACCTAGCTATTGCAATAATTCTAGCATTTTAATAAGGACATTTTAATGAAATCAAATTTTCTTACTGTAAGAATTAGTTAAATTAATTATTTTTTTTAAAAATCTATATATTAGTGCTATGTATGCTACATTTATTGCAAATAGTGTTCATATTTGTAGGAGAGACTGGGTAGAAGTTACCATTACTCATGCGGTCAAACCCTTCTCTGAATGAATGTTTAAGTCAAAATCGATGCCAAATACAACGAAACTCATATGTTTCTTTATGATTCTTTGCCATCTTCGACATTACCCTCCAAGCTCATGCTATAGGAACTCTTTTCTCGTTCTGATTTGTTTTGTTTTGTTTTGCCTCTGGGTGTTTTTTTTTTCTTTCCCACCATGTACCAAATAAAAATATCAATACTCTATCCATAACTCTCTCAACATACATGTATACATTAAATTATATTAATTTTTATCTGTTAAATTAAAAGTTTATATGAAATAAATTACCATAAAACTTTATATTAAAAAATTATTTACGTTTTATTTAAAAAATTTATATGTTTGGTTGTTAAAATGAAATTGGATATGTTCCATATATATGATTCTTAAAACAATATCATATAATTTAATAATTAAAATTATTCATTTCATATTCTTTATAAACTTACCAAGTGAATTAAATTTTAAAATTTTACTTTGTTAAGAACTTTTTCATTCATTTATTTAATTCTTTAATATGTATATAAGAATATATAAAAGTTAAAATTAGAATATTTAATATTGTAAATATATTAAAATGTATAAGTTTTAATAAAAAATTATTTCATATAACATTTGATTGTGTATTTTAAAACAATAACGTCAAAAAAGTGTTACTTAGTTTGATTTGATGACGTTTGTAGTTGGAAATTTATGTTTTGAATTTGAGTACAGTGAAGAATGGGAAAGTCTGACTCTAAAAAAAGAAGAAAAAGAAAATGATGAATGGAGTGAGGGGATGATTGAACACACGGGTGAGTGTAGCTGAAGTCATCTGTGTTATTTTTTGTGATTGTCTGTGGTCAACAACACTCTTCCCCACTTTCATCATCATTACTTGACATCATCCTTCTTTTTATGCCCAATTGCTTCTAAGATCAAAGTCAATATATTCCCCTCATCCCTGCCATGATTGAATTTTTGGACAAACTTTACATTATTGTTTATCAATATTATCTTAATCATCATTGTTATTATTGCAATTATATAATAATCATCTCTTTTGAAAACTCCCGCATGCATGCTCAGAATTTACTGGTATTTGTTTATTTTTAAAAGGTACTTCCTTATTTAAAATCATTCAAATAAAATTTGCATTTAGGAGCATTTAAACAGCACACAGTGCAATTAAACGAAGAGAATTATGAAGTCTTACATATAAAGTTACAAGTTGAGGTCTCCATTGCTTTCTTGAAGATGAAACAAATATAAGTATTTTTATATACTCTCTAATTCTTGTGACTTTTTCTACCTTAAACTAAAATACTATCTTTTTATCCTCAGTAAGCCTAAAAATGTGATGATTTAACTATCAGATTCTATCTCATGTTATCTTTTTAATAACGATTTAATTTCAAAATCTCAATCAAATCTCCGAAGAAGTCCCTTATAATTTGGCTTTTGATTGAACGAGTGTATTGGGCCACCATCTTATTGCAAAGTCACAATACTATTATAACTTTCAATCATTCCAAACTAAAGATTCCAAGAAGGGTAACCTGACAAAAGCCAATGGAACAGGAAAAGACAATTTGCTGAATTTCCATCATTGTCATAAAATAGTCACCCTGGTGCAAATATTTTAGGGTGAGTTTGTCCTTTATTTTAACAACATTGCGCAACACCCCAAAATTGAAGAAGATGAGATTATGATGGTAATGATTATCATCGCCATAATTAATTAACAAGAGAAAAGAGCATGAGAAATGGCCCATGATGATGTCTGAGGAGGGGAACAAAGACATTTCTATGTGAAGGACTGCATGCCTAGTTATCTCTTTAGTTAAATTGCTTTGCTCTCATCTTGTTCATCACATATGACATATTGTTCCATAAATACAATCTAATTACCATGTGTTTAGGTGGTTTGCAATCATGCATGTGAGGTAGAACCATGCCTTCATGATTGTTTCTGGTCTTCTTTTAATCCTTTTTTTTTTCAAGCACATACAGTAAGAATTTATGTGTAATAATTTTTTATTAAAAAATATAAAAAATTTCAACATTCACCCTGTCCTTTGCCTTCAATTATCATATTTACGAATAGTATAATAAAATGCATGAATGCAGCACGATCTCCTCATATGTATGTGTTTAGGGTCCTTTCTATATTTTTTTTTCATTTTTTTTTCTCATATCAACCTTTATTTTAAGGCTTCTATCGTATCAAATTTCATATTTCTTTTTTTGTTATTTTCTTTTTCTTGTGTACCTACCCAACACAACACTTAAAATGAAGATGTGGCCATTGTTTCGCTGACGAGTAATTGCAGCTGGAAGTAGTGCAGTCCCTTCCAATAAACAGCAGAAGCAGATAGCAGAAAGCTGTCTCAAACCCTCTCTCTTTCTTTGCAATGAATGTACAGTTCAAGCTATCGGATACTCCTTCCCCTTTCTTATTCGCTTATTCCTACTCTCACCTATACGTCACATATTTTTTCTTATATCTGTTTGGCTATTAAAGTAAAATTAATGTTTTCTTTCTCCACAAAAATTTTTATTTTGTCTTTTCATTTTTGTTTTATCTTAATCTTCTAACTTTTTAGGGTGTTTTAAATAAGTCCATTGCTATTTTAAAAAACATTTATTCCATTGAATTTTTTTTATCTTTTTTATATATGTTGTGTATTATTTATATTTTTTTTTCTAAAATTAGTAATTATTTTCTCTATCACCTCTTCTTCTTCTTTTTTTTCGTTTTCCTTTTTTTTTTCTTCTCTTCTTTTCTTCCTTCTTTTCAACCCTATGTTATGTATAACCAAAATTCCAAATACAC